GAGGGGCCATCAGGTTTTCTTTGTTCAATTCTTTGGCGGATTTACACTCCGTTCGCAATTTGTTCAGGGGATTCAAACTTATCTCTTACTTTTCTTGCAGGCGAAATCATGATCTCCGCGGCCGATCGGAAGAAGCTGTTTAAGTCTAAGGCGCGCGCGGAGTCCAGCCAAGAACGGCCTCCGCTCCCAACTCCCGCACCATCTGCCGAGCATGCCCAGGCGAGGAAGAAGCGCAAGGAGGTGAGCTCCTCGGCGGAAGGGGCTTCGCTGAGCGGGGCAAGGTCTCCACCCTCGCGCTCGGTGGACTGCGGGAACCCGACCTTCGTGAAGGTGGTGTTCCCCCTCAAACCTTCGTTCTTGCATGGGGACTATGAGCCTCGCCGTTTTCTACAGAGCTTCATCCCTCCGCCCGACTGAATGGAGATAAGTTCGGCCGCCACGCAGGACCTCGCCTCCACTCTCTTGCTCGAGTTGGGCTCGGTAAGCATTCTTCGCTCAGGTATGGAGTGCGTTTCTGCCCGACACTTATGAATTCTAACAAATTTTGCCAGAATTTCACTGCTGTTGTAGGTGGCCATGCGCGCCCCAGAGCTGGTGGAGCGCTTCGAATGGTATGTGGCGGAGAAGGCCAAAGGTGAAGAGGAGCTTCGGAGGGTACAGGAGCACGTGGCTGGCCTCGAGGGGAAGCTCGCTGCGGAGGAGCGGGTCTGGGCCGCGGAGCAGGCACGCGCTGCTGCCGAGGAGGAAGCGCGTCGTCTTGATGGGGAGGCCGAGCATGTAATTGAGGCCTTTCAGACCTCCCCTGCGTTCGAGGAGGCGGCTCTCTCCCGCATGGACGATCTCTTGAAGATCTGGGCTCAAACTCCGGCCGGCCAGCGTCTCCTTTTCAAAGAAGGGCAAGCCAACTATTCCCTGGGGCTGCAACAGGCTCAAGAGGTTCTGCTCGAGCGGATCCAAAAGGGGAAAGAACTCCCGAAGCCATGCGAGAACCCTGAGGAGTTTGACTCATCCATCTACTACTACTCTGAGGACGAGGACGCCAATGGCGGGGGCGAGGACACCGCCGGTAACTGAACGCAGCTGGGCCCACCGATGAACTCCACCCTTAGTTTTTTTTCCTTTGATGTAATGTTTCTGCGCTCGAACAATGTATTTTGCACCGCGCAACTATCACCCTTGACTCTTCGTGGTTTGTGATGCCTATCGTTTTGCTTCGTCTTTAATTGTATTTCCGCGATTGTTTTGGAGGCCGAACGGCCGCTGCCGGGGCGCTT